TTTTTTTTTAGTATTACATTTTTAGTAAATAAAATTATGTAGTCGTAAAGTCATTGAAAAGTAGAAATAAATATCATAATCTTAATCTTTTTAAGTTTTTATTTGTGGGTGACCTAACTAATTTACTTAATTACCGTCTCCATATCTTCTTAAATAATATACTACATTTTAAAATTAATATATAATTTATCTAACGTGTAACTGCATATTTTTTTTTGAATAAAAAATTTGAAAAAATTATTAAATTAATTTTTAAAATTTAACATTTATTACAATTTAATTTTTAATATTTTGGTCCCCATATATCAACAAGTACTTTAGTTTTTTTTTTAACAGAAATTTTTTTTAGAATTCTCAAGGTATATATAGACGTTTTGAAAAAATAGTTCAAAAAATAATTTTAACTTATTAATTAAATTAATAAATTATTATTATAAAAAATAAATTTAATATTATTATCAATATATTAACGTAGTTAAAGTCATGAATATTTTAAACAAATAAAAAATTCATGAAATCAAATTATAATGTTAGAATATTAGAATCAATAATTTTTTTGACATAAAGAATATTAGAAATAATTAATAGGCTAAATTTTTTGATCCTCACAAAATACAAGACGCCACCTAAAGTTTGAAGTTATGTCACCTAATTCTCTTGAATAGTTTATTATATTATACAAAATATATATATTTTTTATTAGACTGATTAATAAATTCTCAATTAAAAATCTTTGAGGATGTTTTATTTATATAAATCTTTTTAGTATGAACCAAATTCATAACAACAAATGATGGAATTTATAAAGGCTGTAATTGGTACGACATTCATTAAATTCTGAAAAGAGAGTTTGATTTATTATCAAAAATTGACTCAATAAGTAAATATTTTTTTTGAGAATCTTTCAATTATTTACTTAGTATGTACGATTCCAGTGTCAAAAAATAAAAAATAAAAAAAATGAATTCTTGAATTCTTTTCTTATCTTTGTTTTATGAAAAGAAATTAAACGTAATAACTAGATTAATATAGGGTTAATTAATTTTCTGAACTAAATTACTTTAATAAGTGAATTTTATTATCCTCCCAGGTCCATAAAATAACACAACCCATTTTAGTTGTAGCAGCCCAACCTTAACAGTAATTATTCGATCTTCAACGACGTCGTTAAGTCGAAGTAAAGCGAGCAGCCTGGGGGTCTAGTGGAGGGAAGGAAGAGATATAATCAGGTTGTTTGAAGCCACGGTTTTTTCGATAATGATGATGAAGAGTGCTAATCTGATGAACCACTGGGGTTTGGGAGCTTTAGGGTTTAAGACGGCGAAGCTTCTGGTTTTTGGCGGAGAGAGGTCGATGGAAGGAGGTTTGAGTGAGAGTAGAGTGCGAGCAGAGAGGCAGAAAAGAGATTTCCTCAAGTCTTTAATTTCTGGGTCTTCCTTGTCTTGTTTTAGGGAAGAGGTTAGAGAAGAGAGAGGACTTGATTTGGGGTTTAGGGTTTCGGAGTGAGGATTTGAGAGAAACGTGTGTGGTTTCTCTGAAG